CAGTATTTTATTATAAATATTATATCATATTATTATAATTTACAATATTTATAATATGCTTTGCACAAGACGTAAAATATATAATAATGCGCGATAACTATATAATAACAATTAATATGAACAAATYATACTTTTACGAGTAAAAAATTTGGATATTGTCGTCGCAGACGCAGGGAGTGTTAAATGACGGTCATTATCACTCCCTTTTAATAGCTTAAAAATTATGTTAACGAAACCCTTTTTAACTGTTGAACGATAAAAAAATCGGGTTCCAACGACACGTTTCACCGACAAAAAGGGATTAAGGTCAACTTTACAATATTTACAATGTACGTACACGAGGATAAAAATTAAAAATWAAAATATTTTTTTATTAATACCGGGAACATTATTTACTCTTGAGTGGCATTTTTCTAACGTTTTCACAAAAAAAAAAACGAGAATATAATAKTTTTAATAACAGTATATTATTATTCTCATCGCCRTTATGATAATATATCATCCACACGATTTATAATAAAATATAATTGTATTTCTATTAGCTAGGTATTGTCATACGCGTGTGATCAAACGCTTTTAATTTTCAAGTTTTCCATCGCATCCAACATTGTAATATCATATGAAAATATTTTCATAATAGTCATCTGCTGTAGTAATTCTATTGTTGTTGTATGTTTACCATCATGTTTCTGTTTATATGTTATAATTATATTATAATATTATAGCGTTAATTATTATTATTTCGATTCATTTTGATAATAATTAAGTGTTTAAATATATTATATATAGGTATATCCGTGTTACGTGTACCTATATATACTATGTAAAATATATAATACATACTAATTATATATATATATATATATTATATACATATATAATAGTTGTGTGTACCAAACTAGTTGGCGCATACAACAGTTGAAAAATAAAAATTAACTGAAATGTTACTATTATAATATGTAATAGTTAGGTGTACTAACATTTTTTTTCTCTCGACTATAATGAAAATGATTTTGGTTGTTTGTGATGAAAATAGTGTTTTTAATGTTCTATATACATTATTACTGCGTATATATATGTACCTACCTACCTATATTTATTGCGTAACTGCGGACCGATAAATCCAATATCCGTGAGATTAGAAGCGCACACGGAGGATACCGCCTCTGGCGCCTATAAACGATTTTTGCGCCATCTAATTTAGTTGTGTTTTTTTTTCTTTCATAGACTATAAAGTATAATATTATATAGTAGCACTTTACTGCAGTTTTAACACTTTCTTTATAATTTTTTCGTATACAGCATATATATAATAATAATCTATCAAAATAACAAACACTTTTGGTTTTACGAAAGGAATTTGGTATTATGTACGTAATATTATATGATTTCTAGTTATATATACCTATGCCTGTGACGATAAAATTTGTCTATTGTGTGTTCTCTTTAAACATACACGCCCATGATGCCGACCTGTGTTTCGGGCGTTGGCCTAAGCCGCCCCTTTAACGCCGCTGCTGTTCGCAATCACTTAATAATTTCCATTACTCTTTTATTTTATTTTTTTTTTTTTAGTGAAAAGTCAATATTAAACGTGCAAACGAGTGGTGAAATATGTTCTTTTTTAATATTTCTAAAATATTTTCAATTATATTATTATCCGCGTATAAAACAACAAGATATCAATAAATTATCAATATTTAAGCTTAACGCTTGTGTTCTATTATAATATACCTAATAATAATACAAGATGAGATATATAYATATAATTTGTTGTGAAATCTTATAAATAGCTCAATAATAACGTGTAATGACTAATGGATAGCAAACTGTGTTAATACTCTTTTACATTATTCATTTACACCTCCTATGATATTACATTATATTTTGTATTTCTTATAATTTATGTATGTACTTACCCGTGTAATACTTATAAACTAATGTATAGAAGATTTTAATTTATATATATATATATATATATATTTTTTTTTATCAATGATTATGTACAATAAATTACATAAAACGGTGTTACTCGAGTAATACCTGTATACATGTATAAAATATACCTAATGTAATAATATAAGTATTATAAGAAGGCAGCTATTTTATGTTACCTAAACAACAGCTTAAAATCATGCAGCAGGTTTAATCGTTATTAACCTCGTAAGTGCGGTATTGAGATGATTTCGCTTTTGTTTTTCAAAAATTAATTAATAATTTTTTTTTTTTAAAGGTGCGTAGAACGCCGGTTTGTGATGGTACTAATCAAAGTGGTGGTTGTACAGTGTGGGTGTAGTAAACGACTAATTATTGTTGAGCCAATGAAACGGCAAGACTCGTTTAAACCGTCTTTCCTTTTTTTTTCGTTTAACGCGGCTATAGATACATTTTTTTTTCTCTCATAAGCCAGATTTTTATTAGTTATACTGCACCAGTCTTAAACGAAATCTCGACAAGTCTACAAGTTCGCGGGTTTTACGTGATTATTTTTTTCCCTCCAAATATTCATGTAATATAGTTGAAGTGATATTGTACTCAAACACACATACAAACACACATAAATAAATATATATATATATACTACCAGTGCGTATATAATCGTTTGTCGAAATGACCACACTTGACATGTCGTATCCATACAGCAGTTATCATTTAGCCGAAAATTACAACGCATTGTACTGTGAAAAAGTAAGATCAATAATATTATTACGAATTAAATATAATATAATTATATAGGTGCAATTGTGCATATTCTGAAGAAAACCATCTACAACGTTAATATACATTTTCAAATATTATAAATAGTATGCTTATCTATATGTTTGCCCCKTGGTATAATTTCAGGTATATGTATTATACAATTATTTATTTTTATCATGCTTCGAGATTATTTGTCTTAATATTTAAGTTTATTTCTTTGCGATAACCGGCCTGTACCTGTAAAGACAATATAAAACTACACATTTGATATAGATTCTCTAAATC